GAAAAGACAAACGTAACCTTTAGTGGAGTTTTTCGTTGACTGAGATTTGATGTTGACGGGGAATAATTTAATTCTAAACAATCTCGATGCAGACAACTGTAGCATCCTAAACATTCAAAAGCTTAACGACTTGATAAGACAAATGTCGCCTGATTTTACATTGCACGGTATAATTTGGTTATGGTTAGATATTTTTAAACTAGTTCTTTTATTGCAAAAATACCTTTAGAAGTTGAGCGACTGCAACTGCTACAACAGCCACCCTCACTTTCATTACCATAACCGCTATCAGATTCTGTTGAGATCATATGTAACAACTGCAATACTTGCTCATGAAGAGGAGAACTTTACCGAAAATTGTTTTTGAATACAAATTCAAAACACGTGGTAAACAAATCTTCTCTTGAAAAAATTCTTTGTAAGTCACTGTTCAGACATTTGCATGAAGATTTGCAGTTTCAACTCATACCTTATCATAAGCATTTTTAAATGCAATAACAATCTTTGCGATAATTGGGTCAACATCATCGAACACAAAATCTGCAGGTGCTGTTTTGTTAAGAAAATTGAAAACACTTATAAGCATTTTGTCTGACTGGATTCTTTTACGCACGATTCGTAGTAAACTGCTCAACTAAAATTTATTACTTTAACGAAAAGTCGCCAAAAAAATTGCAGTAGGAAAATGATAACATAGAAGATGAAGTTACATGTCGGTTAGAGAGAAGTCCATTTAGGACATTTTCCATATATTCGTTTCTTTTTAGCCGTTCAAAAATTTCTGACAGATGGAGGTTCATTTGACGCTGGTGACTCGCGCAACTTGGTATTCCATCTGCAAATTTAGCGGCTCAAATGACGGCTTAGGCTGATAAAGGAATATTGGCTAAAGGAAAGTACAGTAGCGTTGATGACGAAAAAGGGTAAGAGAAGAATCGCTGTAACCGATTGAATGACTGGTTCGATGCATTTCTTTCAAGCGATTAGAAATTCCTCTTATTTTCTCCTGATGATTATTTGCTTCTAACCGAATTGCATCAAATAACCTATAACACCTTGTCTTCTCAAAAAACATTGTTTTTGCTGAGGTTTAAGGACAAATGTGATAATTATAAAAGTATTAATGTAGCTTCAAAATAGAACATTAGCTGAAGTTTTCAAAGACAACTAATCGATAATAACTCTTAAAAAAAAAAAACTGAGAAAAAGAAGATAAGCCAGTTGTTAAATTATCAGGTTTTTCTATCTTTTTATTTTTTTTAACTTTAGTTAACACATAAATAAATTTGAAATATTGTGATGTTTTTTAAAACCTTATCAAGCCAGTCGAACAATTCACAAGACCGTGACAACCCAGTGAATCAAGACAGCTTGCTAGGAAAGCTCGTTCTTTGTGCGCTCTTCCAATGACTTCAGAGCATTCTCGTTCAATAATACTTAACAGCGTTCTTATATGTATGCCATAATTCTAAAGGTATTTTCTCATGCTTTCTGATTGACCGAAGCAAAAGAAACGCATGTAATCTTTAAAACTAGAAGAAGTTTCCTGTTTTTTTTTGGGGGTATTATAAAAGGCTTTTAAAGGATTTGTGAACTGTCATTTAAAAGTTCATTGTCGAGTGGCAACACGAGAGGTAAAAAAGAGAAAAGAGAAGAGGAGAGAAGGAGAGCAATAAAAATCATAAAGTCAAAAACTAATTAGTTGAGGAAAACCAACAAACTTCATTTTTTGATGATTCTTATATGAATCACTTGAGAAGATCTCAGTTCATCTTCATTTTTTTCTTCTTCTTTTAATTCGTCACTACACTGACAGCACAACTTCAAGTGGATTGTTTTCACTTTTTTGCCATGAAATTCATCTATCTTCACACCTACACAACCAACAGACATAGAAAGACCCAGGGACACACACTCACATATATATGCACAGACACTTCTTACTTTTCATTGTGGTCCTTCTTGTTAATATATACCAAAAAAAGAAAGAAATACTAAAAAAAAGTTAAAGCATAAAAAAGTATAGTAATGGTAACCATTTTCAGAATAACACCGTAGTTGAGTTGATAAGTATCATCAGAGAAATTTGCAGCACGACGTGACGACGACGACGATGATGATGATAATGAGGCTGGGACATTGGAGTTTTGTGCGATATCGTTTAGCGCTGTCCACCAGAGAAGTTGACGGAACAAATCTGCACACAGCAGAGCATCACTGGGAAAGCATTTACCCTCACGTGACTGTAACTGTAAACAGATCATATCATTCAGTATTTCATTATACAGTCACTTATTTGTAAAAAACTGAAAGTTAACGTTTTCAATTTTTTTCACAAAACTTTGCTAAAAAAATTTCAATTTTTAACAGATTTGAAAGCCAATAAATGTGATAAATTGATGATAACGTTCACAGAATAAAAAAAGAAAGCAAAAAATTGATACTTGAGCAATTCGAGTGTAGATTGCATCAAGAATTGGTAACGAAAAAGGTATTGATTTAATCAGCTGTGAAATTGGTGGAACAACACTCAGGAATGTTCCAACATCTGTAATTTTTAGGCACTGAACCTAAAAAATAAAAAAAGCTGTTTAAGATCGGTAAGATTAAAATTGTTAAGTGATAATTAAGTTAAAATACTAAAAAAAAATATTAGCTGTTGCTATTCATAGAAAACTAAACAGCAGTAAAAAAAAATTTAAAACAAAAATAAATTAGATTTTTTTTCTTTTTAAAGAGGCAAAACCGTATTTGCTGCATTCAATGTTTGCAACAGTGCGAAATTGCTGAATTTGACAGAAAACTAAAAGACTTATAAAAAGTTAAAAGAAATTGTCTATTTGTTCAACTAATTGAAAGGAAAAAAACATTTACAATTTAGTTTTTTTACTTGTGTTTTTGAAAAAGCAAACGTTAATAATTGATGCTTTGTACAGTTGCTGTTTTCATTTTGTTATCATAAAGCAACCAAAACTTGACAGATTACTCTAGCAAGACAGTTTACTAACTTCTTGTAAGCTGTAGTCGCTATCCTTACATTTTTTTCCACATTAGCAGTCTTATGCTTCTTCCAGTTTTATCAACAAAATTTTGCAGCTTTTGCTGCTAATAAAATAAAGGGATAAAAACTTGGTTTAATTTAACAGCAGCAAACAAAAAAAGCAAATTTAATATTACAAACAAAGGTATTGAAAATTTAAATTTGTTCAACTGCTGTATATAAGTTAATTATTTTGCTGAGCAGAGAAAAAAAAAAGCAGAAAGAATGAAATTGAAAGCAAAATAAAGAAAAAAAAAATAAAAACAGTGAAGCTAAGTGGTAAAGCTGTATAAAGTTTAAAAGTTTGACATTTGTGTGTGTGTTGAAAAACAGCAAAAATTAACAAAACACTTCCCATCTTCAAAATTGTGCTAAAGCTCAAAAAAAACTCAACATTCTAACATTTTGGTAGCTTTTTATTCCACTCTCTTTTTTTTCTTCCACTTCAGTTTTATTTCCGTCACTGCATTTGTGTAGTTTATCTTCTTTTTTTCTGTTTGAATTTTCAACTCTTTTTTTTTAGCCTCTCTGTTTGCTGATAATTTTTTAGGAAAATAACACAAATGTTCCAATCAAACATATTGCTGATAATTTTAGTCATTCAAATCCGGATTAAAATTTGCAAAAAATTTGTTTAAATAACTTTTAATCATTAGTCATAACAGTAATGCTGATTATAGTCAAATGCAGAAAATTGTTGATATGTTGATATAACACAACAGTTGACCGTCAGTACCAACAAAAAGTAAGTTTAAAAAAAGTTCAGTTTTGATTACTGAAAACAAAGCGGCTATTAAAATGCAGTTTTACTTGCTTACCTGTTTTAGCAGTTGATTTGCGCAGTCTTCGTCTAAAAATTCGTCTTCTGAATCTGTATACATGTAATCAACGTCTGCTAAGTCGACATAAACTTAAAGAGGTTCAAGTCGTCCAGTAACGTAAAGTTAAAACGACAGATTTCTCTTACTTAACTATAAAGAATTTAGTAATTTCTGATTCAATGATCACTGTAACGCAGAACAAACACCAAAATATAAGCAAATTGAATCGTTTTTTTCATGCATGTTGAAAATAAAATGCATTGAAATACATTGAATCACAACAGTGGTCTTTGATATAAAATGGTACTTAAAAATTCGTCAACAGCATTTTGAATAAAAAAAAATATGGCTTTTAACATATATCACATACAAGCAACAAATATCTGAAGCTGTTGTTCAGCTGCCAAATACCATTATGGTAAAAATATCATAAAGTCCAATTGTAGCAGTCAGTATTTTAGCAAACAACTGATAAAAGCTATCGACCACTCTGTTGATGATAATAATGACGACAATGGAGATGGAAACGATGGGGGATAATGAGGACGATGACGATGACGACGGCGATGATGACAATTGCAGCAATAAAAACTGCCTTCTCATTTCTGTTTGGTATACAAAGTGAAACAGAAACTCTCCCTCCGCCTTCTCCTCGTTCACCCCGTTCGCTCTGCCCCCCGAAGACTTTTTTTTTTACCTTAGCATTAGACTTAAAGCTACAAAAATTTTTTAAGGTAAACATTTGTTGTTGTTATTTTAATATTTTCTATCTTTTTTATTTTGTTTCTCTACGTTTTTATATCTGCCAAAGAAAAGAAGAAAAAAAGAGTGAAAAAAATGAAACTAAAATGGAAGTTTTAATTTAGTACATTCTAATTACTGGATGGAGTTCACGCTTTAATTTTTATTTTCTTCAGACAACAATGAAAATGATAAATGATTCGTAGATAAATACCTTTTGCACAAAACTTTATACTGTTTGTTACTTTCGCCAAAATATTTTTTATTTTCTTTTCTTCATAAAAATTAAATTTTTAGCACATTAGCAACAAATTTTCTATATGTTTCTATACACTTCAGCTTACCAAATTATAGGCAGTAGAAGAAAATCACTGATAAGTGACAAAAAGGATATAAGAAAATCATTCTTCTGTCCGACTCTTTCAGCCTTCTCTCTTCTCTAAAAAGAAGATAGGCATTGCTAAAACAACTTCTACTGACATATTCACTTGAAACATATCAAGATTTTTTTCATGCAATGTTGTTCAAATTGGTCACTTGCCTTCTGCAGTTACCGTTGCAATAAATTGCCACTCACCAATTTTCTCAAGAAAAGTTTTTTTCACTAGTTTGATTGATTTTTTTTTCTAAACTTTACTGTAAAGCATCACATCACCGTCATTTCTGTTAGTCAATTTATTGCCTTTTTAAAGCTATTCGTTTCATCTTGACAGCTTGGCCAAGAAGTGTAACGGCGGTTGAAAAAAAAAAAAAGGATGGCAGAACAGAAAAGCAGTGAAAAAAATTGAAGTTGATATTAGGTTGAAGTATGAAAAAAAGTAAAAAATAATTAAACTGAATTTGTCGATAAGTGATTTTTTGGGCTGAAAAGTGGAAGAAAATCGGGAGGAAAAAGAGAGGAAAGGAACAAAGCTAATTGAAGGAGGGAAGTGTTATAAAAGAAGTAAAAGGAAAAGCGACGATAACGACGATAAGACTGAGTAATTCAAAAAGTAACTTGAAATTCTTATCCTCTTTTCGTACTTTTTCTTTTGCATTTTTTTGCTAAAACATCACTTTTTTCCTACCTCTTTTTTCTCTTCTAATTTTTCTGCTATTATTACTATAGTTTGAACCTAAAGAAAGTAAGAGAGATTATAAATGAAAGTGAAAACATATGAAATCTAAAGTAATGACTTTTACTTTTTTTCAATTTTATTTTCTATTTTTTCTTGCATGTTTTAATTAAACACTTATAGAAAAAACTCACCAAATAAAAAGCAATACAATATTGAACTTCTTTCTTCTCAAAAATTGTATATATACTATCAATGTTAGAAATGAGAAAGAAAGATATTTATTGAATTTTGAAACATTGCTGGACACAGTTTATGTGATAGCAAAAAAAGAAACCAAGTCAACAAGAATGTTAAGTTTGAAAAACAGGCTTCCGTCTCTAAAAGAACAAATTAGTCTTGATAGCTGGTAAAATAAAAAAAAAAAACAAATAAGTGAAAAAAATGAATAGAAAAGGAAAAAAAAAGAGGAAGACGAAAAGAAGAAGTTTTTGGATAACATTGAACTTAGCAGTGTTGCTGAGTGGTATTTGGATGGGGTCAATCAGATAAACAGATAGACGGATTTTGTTGTGAATAAACAAAACTTTATTAGCTTCAATTTTTCTTTCTCTTTTTTATCTTTTCAATTTTTTTCATTTTTGCAATTTTTTTTTACTTAATGCTTTTTGTCTTGTCAATTAAGCATTAGCAAAAAAAAAAATTCTGTCACTGTTTCCTACAATTTTTTTTTTT